ATGTATGGTATTCAGCTTTGTTCAGGTATTCTCCCACGTCATTATAGTTGTGCTTTTAAAGTTATAGCAATGGTGTAAAACACCAATCAAGCAGAACACAGCCAACTCCAAGACCAATAAACACAGACCAAGACTCCCAACCAATCAGGATGAAGAAAAAACCATTCTGGCACAGCAGTAGGCTAGCCCCAAATTTAAAACTGAAACAACTGTAAAAGTCTGACTCACAGACGAACACAATACGGAAGCCTGATGATGGCAGATGAGATTCCTGCCGAAACGTTGCTACAACTTTAAAAGCACAACTATAATGATGTGGGAAAATACCTGAACAAAGCTGAATACCATACATGTAAGTACCCACGAAAACTTAAGAAAATATATATAATTTATATATATAAATGTTATCATATCTATCTTCTCTATTATCTAAGTGTCTTATCTGTCATCTAATATCTGTATCTATCAACTATTTAGCTGTCATCTATCTACCATCTACCGTGTTTCTCCAACAATAAGGCCTCCACCAATAGGAAGCCCCACCATGTTTTATTGGCATAAAATCAAATTAAGCCCCTCCCCCCAAATTAAGGCCCATATTAAACATGCGAAATGTGGGGGGAATGGCGGGGGGGGGGCCTTGCCATTAGGAAGTACTTTTGTTGCATGCCCGGATATGGTGCTGCCTGCATTGGTGGGGCACTTCGTATCGGGAGACCTTCCGCCACCGTTCCTTTCCCTTCTCCCTTGCTGCCGCGGCGTTACAGCAAAGCCGCGAACCCTGCGGAGACACTTGGCTTCAGGCGCTCCCTTTGCCGCCTTCCCTTTGTCTTCGAAGGTAAAGCCAATTATTTTAAAAAACAACCCCCTACTACAACAAAGCCTCCCCCTGCCCGAGAGGGCAGCCCAACCCCACGTGGGGAGGCGAATCTTCCGGGGCCGCAGCGCAGGATCGGCCCACCTCGGGAGAAGCACCCAGCCACCAACCCTGCCTGGCGCCGGGCAGAGCGCAAAGAGCTTCGCCTGGGGCTCCCAGCGCAGCTGACAGGCGGGCCCTCCTTCCCGGCAGCAGAGCTCTCACCAAGGCAGCGAGCGCCTCCCCGCCGGACCCTCTGCTCATCCCACCAGGGTCGTGCCAGAGTCGTGCGGGCTGAGCAGAGCTGGGAAAGCGAGCCATGGGTGCGCGCCCACCTGCCAAGCGAAAGAGCCGGACTGACCCAAGCTTGGGTTCCTTCCCAAGTCCCTCCAGCCCGAACCCAAAGGGGCCACCGGGAGAGGCCGTCCGAGGCAGTGATAGCGCCCACCCATCCGTAGACAGGGAGGCAAAGCGATGGCCTGAGCCGTGTCCTCCGAGCTGAGCCCCACCAAGTGAGTGCCTCTGCCTGATGCCTCTTCCGCTGCAGCGTTTGGAGCTGCCAGCACATTTGGAGATGCTTGGGGACAGGTTGGGCGAGGGGTGGAAAGGACGGGGGGCTTCGGGCTCTCTCCGCCGGCCAGGGAAGCAGTACTGCCATCACCTCACCTCCCTGTCTGCGGACAGGTGGGTGCTATCACTGCCTCAGGCGGCCTCTCCCAGTGGCCCCTTCGGGTTCTTGCTGGAGGGACTTGGGAAGGAAGCCAAGCTCAGGTTGGCCCGGCTCTCTTGCTTGGCAGGCGGGCGCGCACCCACGGCTCACTTTCCGGGCTCTGCCCAGCCCGCATGGCTCCAGCGCAGCCCTGGTGGGATGAGCGGAGGGCCCGGCGGGGAGGCGCTCGCTGCCTTGGTGAGAGCTCTGCTGCCGGGAAGGAGGGCCCGCCTGTCAGCTGCGCTGGGCGCCCCAGGTGAAACTCTACGCGCTCTGCCCGGCGCCAGGCAGGGTTGGTGGCTGGGTGCTTCTCCCGAGGTGGGCCGATCCTGCGCTGCGGCCCCGGAAGATTCGCCTCCCCACGTGGGGTTGGGCTGCCCTCTCGGGCAGGGGAGGCTTTGTTGTAGTAAGGTGTCGTTTTTAAAAATAATTGGCTTTACCTTCGAAGGCAAAGGGAAGGCGGCAACAGGAGCGCCTGAAACCAAGTGTTTCCGCAGGGCTCCGGTTGCAGGGAGGAGCCCTGACTGGCCGCACGTGGCTGCGCCAAATGCCATGGCGTTGGTCTAACGCCGTGCAGCAAGGGAGAAGGGAAAGCAATGGTGGCGGAAGGTCTCCCGATACAAAGTGCCCCACCAACGTCGAGATCAACATCCCAGCTGTCGCCACCTGCCCACCCGAGGATGCAAGGGGGGGCGGAATTAAGTCACCCCCCCAAAAGACGGCCTAGCCATTTTTTGGGGGGTTAAAAAAGAATAAGGCCCGGCCTTATTTTGTGAGAAACACAGTATCTAATCTATCTAGCTATCATCTATCTAAGATTTCAATCTATCATCTATCTAATCTCTCTCTCTCTCTCTCTCTCTCTATTTCTCTCTCTCTCTAAATCATCTATATTATCTACCTACGTACCTATTTATCTGCCTGCCTGCCTATCCATCCATCCATCCATCCATCTATCCATTGTCTGTCTTTCTCCCAGCCAGAATACCAGCGGTATACAGGCAATCCTTGACTTATCACCACGAAGAGCCCCTCATTTCTGTCGTTAAGTGATCTTGGTGAAGTGAGTTTTGCCCCATCAGATGAGGGTTTGTTTGCCACGGTCATTAAGCAGACCCTGCAGTTCTTAGGTGAACAGGGCTCTGGTTAACAACCCTGATACATATAGTCCTTGACTTAATGATCCCAATGTAATGGAACGTGTCATTCAGCGAGACCCCGGTTGAGTTTTGCCCCTATGCAGCAATCTGTCTGGCCCCGGTCATTAAGCGAATCCCTACCATTGTTAAGCGAGTCCCATGGTTACGAAGGGAAACTAGTTTCCCTCTTGACGTTGCTCGTCAGACGGTCGCAAAAGGAAATTGCGTGCTCTCCCACCCCACCCTCCCCCGTCGTAAATAGGAACCTGATGCTGAACCCCTGGATTTTGATCATGGGGATACTGCGACGTCGTGAAAGACCCTCCTCGGTCACTTTCTTCAGTCCCGTTGTAACAGCGAACCGTCCCTAAACAAACAGTGAGGAAAGGACCGGCCGTCAAAGGAGATTAAAGGGTTGCTATGCCTCAAATTCTCCCACTGGGAAGGCCCCTCGCGAGCATCTCTTGCAGTTGGATGGATGGGTGGGTGGGTCTCCTTGAACAGGGGGTTGGACTAGATGACCTCCAAGATCCCTTCCAGCTCTGCCTTCTGGGCCCCCCAAGATGGGCTTTGTAGTTCTGGGCTCCAGGTTGGTTTCAGCGGAGGGTTGTAGGTGTGTGTGCCTTTTTTCCCCCCCAGCAGGTGACGCTTGAGCTGGTTGTCCTCCTGCTCCTCCTCCCCCAAGGAGCTCAGACAACGTCCATCCTCTCTGGATGTTGTGATGGAGAACTACGAGCTGGTGACCTCCCTTGGTAAGAGCCGTGCGGGGACCCTGTGTGTGTGTCTGGGTGAGGGGTTTCCTGGGGAGGGGGCTCTAGGAACAAGAGGCTGCTGGGAAGGAAGACAGGAAGAACACCCCACCCGATGATAAGGCTCCCTAGTTGGGTCACGAAATGTCTTGCAGCTCAGAGAGCACCAGGGACCCAACAGCCCCCCCCCTCCTCCTCATGCGCTGATGATGTTACCTACTTTGGTAATGAAACGCTTGCCAGGAAACGACCCAACTCGGAGAGCACCAAGGACCCCCATAATCCTCCTCCTCCTCAGTTGGGGCCGATCCCCTCCCTCCTGAGCCCCGGGGAAAAGGGGGGGGCGGTGTCTCCCTTTGACCAGCTGCCAGGGATAAAGGGCTGGTTCCCGAGGTGGGATTTAGCCGGTTCAGACCAGTTCTGATGTACCGGTAGGAAAAAAATATGGAAACCCACCAGCGGCTGGTTTGTCTCGCCACACCTGTGACCCGCCATGTCAAATCTTTTCCAGGCTATCCGGTTCTCAAACCCGATATCCTGTCTCGGATCGAGCGGGTCGGAGAGCCGTGCGTGGGCGACCAGCTGGATTCCACCCGCGGGATTCCCACTGATCCATGTCCAGGTAATGTCTGCAGGGCTGATCCTATACACACACACACACACACACACACACACACACACACACACCTGTGCTGCCCAGGGTTCGGAGAGCGCAATTATGTTTCATTTCCTCAAGGTTTCATTTCCTGACTCTGCGCGTTGAGCCGAGTTGCTGGTGTGTGACACTGTGGCTCTTGGGGGGTGTCGAGTGACACAACATTTTGGAAGTTGTGGGGGGATAGCCTTCTTTGGCCAAGAAGAGCCTTTCTGGCCACTTTGGGAGAGTATTTCCTCATCTCATCTCAGTTCACCGGCAGGGGAACTCAATCCTACTATGTTTCCTTTGAAAATAAGACTGGGTCTTATATTAATTTTTGCTCCAAAAGACCCATTAGGCCTTATTTTGGGGTAGGTTCTTATTTTCAGGGGAAATACGGTACTCAGTGCCTCTGTCTGGCTGACAATCTTATTTGGGGTTTATTTTCAGGGTACGGCTTATGTTACCAGCATCCTGGAAAAACTCATGCTAGGGCTTATTTTCCAGTTGGATCTTATTTTCAGGGAAACTGGGTACAATTAGAATTCGAACTACTATAAATACTATAATTCTGCTCCCAAAAGCCCGCGCCCATCTTTCGATTGAGTTGAATTCAAGGCTATCTTGATGGTTGTGTTAGCTTGGTATAGGAGTGAAGGTGCTGGCTGAGAAACCAGGACAACGGGGTTCTAGTCCTTCCTTAGTCATGAAAGACAGCTGGGTGACTTTGGGCCAATCACCAGGAGATGGGGAGTTCTAGTCCCACTTTACACATGAAAGATGTCTGGGTGACTAGGCCAATCACCAGGAGAGTTCTAGTCCCGCCTTAGGCAGGAGGACGGCTGGGTGATTTTGGGCCAATCAACAGGAGACCAGTTCTAGTCCCGCTTTAGGTAGGAAAGATGACTGGGTGCCTTTGAGCCAATCAACAGGAGAGTGGGAGTTCTAGTCCCACCTTCAGCACGAAAACCCGCTGAGTGGCTGGGCCAGTCCCTCTCTCTCCAATCCAGCCCAGCCCCACCTCACAGACATGTCTCAAATCAGGGCTGCATTATGGCCTTGGTGGTACCGGGGAGATGGGCTGCCTCAAAGGACATCTCTTCCCGTCCTTCCAGAAAATTCCAGGAATAATTCACTGACTCACCTGTGGCTTTTGTGATCTCTTTCCCTCCCCCCGCCCCCAGGTTACCGTTTCTTCAAACCTGAGAGCCTGTCTTGGATTGAGCGGTGGGAGGAACTCGGAGTCACCGACCGTCAGAAGTTGGAGGAAGGAAAACTCTGCGCTGGTGCCTGCCAAGGTATGGAAGGTCGGGGAGCGCCTGGTTTTAGGGTGGAGCAAATGCAGGAATTGGTATCCAGGACACAGGCAAATCAGTGCACGTGCAAAGCAATAGAGAAAAGAATATAATACCAGTACGCGGGAAATTAATAAGGTAATAAAAAGGATAAATAACAATACAGGGGCATCTTCAACGTAACCACCACAATGGAGATGAAAATTTCTCGCGCAAAGCGAGACAAGTTCAATTTTGCCCCAGTTTGCTTCTGAAGGGTGGAAAAAACTGTTGCCATTGTAACTTTGAACGGTCCCTAAAGTTTGAAGACTTTACCTGTACTAAGGCCACACTACAGGTTCATATCTAGAGATAGATGGATTCAGGTATTATGGCCGAGCGGTTAGAGACGCTGAGCTAAAACGGGACGTTTGAGACCTGAGCTGCTCCGATGGGGTGAGTTCCTATTACCTGCTCCAGCTCCCGCTTTGCAGTTTGAAAGCATGAAAGTGTAAGCAGATTAATAGGTACCAGTTTGATGGGAAGATAACAGCATTCCGTGTGCCTTTGGCATATAGCCATACTGGCCACGGGACCCAATGGAAACGTCTTTGGACGACATTGGCTTCCTTTGCCAAGAAATGGAAAGGAGTGTCGTGTCTCCCAAGTCGGAAACGAGTGGACGGGGGAAACCCTTAACCTTTTACGTAGACACGAAGTCACAGAAAATTAAAAACAGAACGTCAATACACTTTTTGTCTTCGCGGCCCGGGGGGGGGGGGTGGGGTGGGGAAGAGAAGATATTCTGTCTGAGCGACAGGCACATGAGCGCGCACGAGCCCATCGCTGACATGAGAGAAGCTGCACACGTGAGCATTGCACCCGTATATGCACTCGTGTCCTGATTCTCAATAGGCCGTGACACAGTAGTGTGTTAGGAGTCGGGGACCCCTGCATTATTTAATTCCTTCCTGTTGTATCACCCCCTCCCTTTTTTTCTCCTCTGGAACAGCCGCCGGACGGAGCAAAGCCATCAAGGAAGAAGAGGGTGGCCAGAAGGGTTTTGTGGCCAGCTTGGAACGCTACCAGCTCTTCCCCGAAAGTTCTCGGGCGGGTCTCTTCCTGGCCCCCAACCCCGGACAGCTGAGACCCCAGCCCCGGGTCAAGAAGGAGGAAGCGGCTTCCTGCGAGCCCAGTCTAGGTGGCCCCGGACGCCCCTCCCAAGGCCTGGGCTCAGGCCCCTTCACGTGCGTGGTGTGCGGCAAGTGCTTCCGGCAGAAGCAAGGGCTGATCACGCACGGGCGCATCCACACTGGCGAGAAGCCCTACCCATGCCTGGAGTGCGGCAAGCGCTTCCGCCAACGCCCCAACCTGCTGACCCACCAGCGGGTCCACACCGGTGAGCGGCCCTTCCCCTGCCTGCGCTGCGGCAAGCGCTTCAGCCAGAAGGCCAACCTGGCGGCTCACCAGCGCACCCACGCCGTGCAGGAGGGGCTGATTGCCCCCGAGCCCAAAGTGCCGGTGCCGCGCGGCAGCCGCTCAACGGAGAAGCCCTTCCCTTGCAGCGTCTGCGGGAAGAGCTTCAGCCAGCGGCCCAACCTAATCACCCACCAGCGCATCCATACCGGCGAGAAGCCCTTCCCCTGCACTGAGTGTGGGAAGCGCTTCAACCAGCGGGCCAACCTCATCACCCACCGGCGCATCCACTCGGGGGAGCGGCCTTTCCCCTGCGCCACCTGTGGGCGGCGCTTCAGCCAGAAGGGCAACCTGGCAGCCCACCAGCGCACACACTCACAGCAGCGGCCCCATGCCTGCTCCTGCTGCCCCAAGCGCTTCAAGGGGGAGTCCGCGCTGCGGGCGCACCAGCGTACCCATCGGCAGGTGCTGGGGGCCGATCCGCTGACTAGCACCCTCCTGGCCACACCAGCTTTACAACAAGCCCTTCCTGGGGACCCCACTTCGGCAGCACAGCAAGCCACACCGGCCCCTCGTCCGGATCTTCCTGGAGACCCTTCCCCCAGTGTCCACCGCCCGGCCCCGGCCACCCAACACGGGGCGCCTCATGGGCAGAATCTTCCCGCGGACCCGCCTACCCCTGGCCAACACGCGGCCGGCCCCTCGGGGCACCTCCAAGGGGTGGCCTCCGGCCCAGAGCAAGGTCCGAAGCTGAGTGGCCCGCCAACCCTCCTGGATCCCCACGTGGAGATGCTCCATTGCCAACGCCGGCTGGGCCTTCCAGTGCTGCCCAGCTCTAGCACCCACTCGGTTGTGCCCTTGGGGCAACCCCCGCCCGTCACCGCCAAACCCAAGGGTTTGTCGGCTGCCCCTCGGCCCGCCGCCCCCGTGGACGCTCCCAGCGAGATGCTTCACTGCCTCTGCCATGCCAGCCGGGCCTCCTTGGTTATTCCGCACCCACCACATCTGGGGCAACTTCAGCCTGGCACCCGGGATGCCCCCGGCCGCGCCTGGCTGGGCCTCCCCTGCCCAACACGTACCCTTCAGCTCCAGCAGGGCGGGCAGGCGCACCCGGCCGCCCCTAATCCCAGACTATGTTCGATTCCGGATTCTTTGCGATAACTTCCCGTGCATGGGGCAAGCACCGATCGGCCGGGGCTGGACTCCCCTTGGATCTCCTTCCTCCCCCCACCCTCCAGCAGCGCCCTATAGGACTGACCGTGGGGTTTATGCATGTATCCTGGACCAGGAAGCCCCCCTCTGCCCCACCCTCCTGCTCTACGGAAGCACATGGACTCTCTTTGGATCGAACCCACCTGTCTCAAGAGCCAATCCATTCTTCCAGCAAAGGCACTCTTTCTCCCCCCCCTCAAAAAAAAGCGTCAACATGGCAGCAGGACCAAAACCATGCCCACACCCCGTCTTACCACCGAGCCCCTCCTGCCAAATCTCCCTGGATGCCCCTCATCTACTCCCAAACAATGGAAGGAAAGACTAAGAACTTGGCGGCAGCTGTCCAAACAATGAGGATGGAAGAGTGCCACCCACTGTTTTGGAAACGTGACTGAGGGCGGAACCCCTCAATAAACCCTGGTTGGGGGGCAGTGCCTCGTGCCCGGACACAACTTGGCACATCCCCCCACGAGGCACCGGCCCCTGTGGCTTTACAAAGAGGTTCCTGAGACCCCCGCCTTCCCGCCCTCATGCTTTCCTAAGAAAGGGGGAAAAAATGAAAGAACTCGTTCTGGAAATGCACCCTTGGCATCGCGCGGCCGCCATGACACAAACTGGACAGCCGAACTCTTTGCCAGCCCGGTGAGTGCCAGCTTCATGCCAAACAACAGGCCAGCTGGCTCCCTGTAGAAGTCCATCGTGTTGATGCAGAACTTTTCGGGGAGCGGGAAGGATTCGGATTTGAAGACATTGTGGAGGGGGCCCCTGCCTGGCCTTCAGCTCTTAGAAGTATAATCAGTCTCCAGGCCAGAAAAGACACATTTGTTCCTCTCCCCCTCCCCACCAAGGAGCTCCCCCTCTTCCCAACAGCTGTGACTACAATGGTCTGACGCTTTCGGGGAGCCGACACCAAAGAGGTTGGATTGCGGTGGGGCTGAAAGAAGGGTGGGGTGGGATCCTCACATAAGGAGAGGGGAGGCCCCAGAACGAACAAGAAGCACTTTAGAACGACCCGATGGCCTGTCGGCCCCTGGATTTTCCCTCCTCTCTCGCATGGGACGGAACCCTTGCACAGGGCCGCTGGAAGGGAGAAAGCCGAAGTTGTGTGTTGTGTTATGAGGGGTCTGTGCCTTAAGCTGAAAAGCCTTCCCAGAGCGAAGACGGTTAAATGTTCCAAGGCGAGTACGCCAAGGGTCCGGGCTTAGGACGGGGAGGAAGGAGGAATGGCGACGGCCTCCCCTCCTCCCGCCAAAGTCTGCCAAGGATGCAAAGGAGGGGTGGTAGGAGGACTTCGCCCCCCCTCCCCTATCCCAGGTCCTCTGAGCATCCGGCGCCTGTTCAGCTAGACTGATTTTAGGGGCCCAGAGACGACATGGATTGTATCTGGGCAACGGGGAACAGGTATCAACGGCAGTGGGTGCGTTGAGCATACAAACAATGCCGTGCGACAACCAGTTACTTGGGCACGAATCCACGAAGGCACACGCCGTGCATGGGTTGGATGCAGGGTTGTGATGGTGAGGGGTTGTCGGGAAATTTGATTGGCACAAGCGGGCTGCCCACAGTCTGCGGCCTGGGTCGATGGAGGCTGCCTCCCATCGGCAGCTGTGGAGAAAGAATCCATACCTCCAACCAGGAGCATCCTTCCTCGGGGGCTCTTTCCCGGTGGGCTTTGAGGGGTACATTCTAACTAAGTCCTAGTCCCAGGATAAAACCACCCAGATATTGGGTGGAAACCCCACCCCCCCGGCTTCTTTTTTTTAAGCTGGCGAAATTAGCCGTGCCAGTTTGGAGGCGTGTTGAGAGCTTGGCCCATCGTGGAGAAACAGATGAGCTCACCCCCCCACCCCCCCAAAAAAAAAACAGGAGTGAAAGAAAGAATTGTGTTCCAGTCCAGGCAAGTCGGCCAGAGCTGAGGCAACTTGATCCCATCTTTTCCAGGCCAGGGCAGCAGTGTCCAGTCTTGTATGGGTACCTTGACTGGCACGGGGCAGCCCCCGAAGCAAGGCCAGCGGTAGTCACGCCCGATGGCTGATCCTAGAGCTCAAGAGGCCCAGAACCTCCATCCGGGACTCATGCCCAAGGATGGTCCCTCCTTTTGGGAAGAGCCGTGACTTTGTTGAGTTGCCGCGCTGGAGAAAACGGTGTTCCAATGTATGGCTGGTTTTCCGGCCTTTGGCCGGGCCCAGTAAAACCAGGAACCAGGCAGCCCTGCCCCCGCCAGCTGCTGGGACAGCCTCCAAATTTTGGCCTCAAGTTTACATGCTCGGTGTTGAAGGGCGAGAGGGGCGAGCACCAAAAGTCCGGGAATGGTCGAACTCTGTAGCTGGCCCGGAAGTTGACACTTAGAGCAGGGCCTCCCAATCCTGGTCCGTGTACTGACACTCAGTTTGCAGCATGCCGGGACCTGGTCCGTGCACACAACCCATCTGCACACGCGTGGGATGCAGTAAGTACACAAAACCACGTTCCTCTGGTCCGCAGAGAAACCGTCCTACACGGAACCGTTCTGCAGTGCCCAAGTCTTGGTAGCCACTGCCCCAGAGAGAGAACCAGCTGCCCTCTCCCTTTTATCCCCCAGGGTGCCAGGTGCAGCGCCCCCTCCCGCTTTAGCCGGGCGCGATATGGTTTTGTAACAACCCCTTTGTCATTTTTGGCTGGGTGTGGTTGTGAACGGGTGGCAATAGTGTGGATCGTATAATGTTGCTCGCCGAAGACAGGCACAGTTCTACCCTCCTGAAGGCTTTTCGGTAACGTTCCGGTGTGCCAAGGCAGGTTGAAAAGTTGAAACATCTTATCTGAGAGGTTGTAAATTTTTGGGCTGCTGGTGGGGAAAGTCCCCACAATTTTTTGTTCAGTTCAAATAGGGCCTCTGCAAAGATGCTGTGGCAAAATCTAGCAACCCTTGTGGGGAACTCCTGGAAATTTGGTTATTTAGCCCCCAATACCGTGATGGTGAATGTATACGGCATACGAGCTGCAGGAAAACATACCTCACTGCGCATAGGCACACCTCACAGCTGATTTTTCGGCTGGTTTGAGGCCTATTTCGGCCTCCCAGAGGCTTGAGGAAGGTCTTTGCAGGCCGAATAACAGGCTCATGTGACAGACAGTACAGGCCTATAATTCAGCCTGCAGAGGCTTCAAGCCTCTGGGAGGCCGAAATAGGCCTCAAACCAGCCGAAAAATCAGCTGTGAGGTGCAGTGTAGGTAAGGGGGTGGCGGGGGGATTGTGTGCACATGCGCAGGAGGCATGGAGGGGTGTGTGTATTGCCTTCTGGGTGCTGATACGTGAGTGCATAAGCGCGCACACAATTTTTGGCACAGGAGCCCAAAAAGTTATCCACCACTGCCCCACCCTATGGGGGAGAGGGTGGGTGGGACGGAAGTGATGTTTGAATTGGGGGGAGAATCCTGAGCTCCCAGTACCCCTTTCCTTTATATTTTGCCTATTTGCACCTTCGCGGAGCTGCTTCACCTTCGTGGAAAACCCCTGCCCTCTTAACTGTGGCCAGCTAAAACAACTGTGGCTGTCTTCCCCCCCCCCCCAAAAAAAAAAATTAAATAAAAGTGGATCCAAAGGGACTTCTTGTGGGCTCAGGTCGGTGGGCTTCAGCAGGATGCATAACAAAGCCACCTTCGGAATGAGGGAGCTGTGAGGTCATCCGCACATGCCCCGGTTCTTCAGGGTGAGGAGAGGCAGTGACACTTTGCAGAGACGGCAAACGCTCTGAATGGCAGGACTCCCCCCTCAGTTGTTGAGAGTGGGATGAGCCTGGCAGAATTGGGGAAGGGAGGTCAAAGGTTGGGTGGGCAGAAGTCTCCTTGTTCTGCGTCCGTCCAGGACCTGAGCTGTTGGGTCGACAGAAAGAAGGACATCTTCGCTCCCCTTGTCCAGAGCAGCCAGTCAATTGCTTGTGCCCCTGAGCATGCATGGGGTTGCCCTCTCTGTTGCCCCTCCCCCTTTTCCTCCCAACATTTGGGGGGGGGGTCCCCCGTGCATGGCAGTTCCCACCACCATCAGCACCACGTCGCCTTTCGATAAATGCACAACACCCATCACTGCCGACATCGTTTGTTTACACCGGACTTCCTCGGTGCATCGAGATTGCTTGGTGTTCAGGGTGTGGTGCAAGAATTGGGGTGCGGGGGGATTCTTCCTTCCTTCCTCACCCACCCACCCACTTTCCCCTTCCTGCAACTGACTTTTTTTTTTTTTTTTTTGCCGAGCCCATCTGGGCCCCCCACGAACGCCGTTAGGAGATGGTCAGGCCTGACACTGGACAGAAAAGAGACTGCTGTCCCCCTGCCCCACCCACCCCCGCCATCCCCTTGACCCCCCCGCCAGGGGCGCCCCCCCCCCCCCCCCCCCCCCCCCCCCCGTGCTTGCATCCCCTTCCGCAAGTGGCCTCCGAAAGACACTTCACGCCCCCATTAACCCCGACGGGGCCTGTAAGGGCCTATTCCAGATGTATTATGATGATGATGATGATAATTATGTCTATTATTTTCTTGAGCTATGTTTATTTGCAATAAAGGCTTTCTTACAGTTGGGGGGGTGTATGTTCTTAGTGGTGTAAGTGTGAAAGGGACGGAACCGAGGGGTGGGATTCGACTGGTTCGTGCAAACTGGTTGTTCTTCCAGTAGGTGTTTGGCTCTGCCCTGTTCTTTGCTCTATTTCCTAGGTCTTTTTTTCTTTTCTTAGCATGGCTTATTCACACGGCAGAGTGATTTTGTGTGCCTCAGCTGTTTGAGTTCACTGGGGTAGGGCTGCAGTAGAAGGTAAGTAATTCAGTTTTAAAAAGAGCTTTTTTTAAAAAATGTGTCAGGGCTCCAACAATCCAACCTCCATTCCAATCCTAAGTCTCAATAGTTTAAAAAATGGTTTATTAGGAGTGACCATGTTGGCATTACCTGGGTGCAGCCGACTTTGAGGCACATTATTTCACCCTTGAATCTGGATTTTTTTTATTCTTGTTGTATATATGTGTGTGTGTGTGTGTATTTTCTGAGGTTCTTGCGGGTATTTGTGGATCTTTGGTTATTCGGGTTTTCTCCTGCGTAAGATTGGAAGTATCTAGGCAACGTTTCGATGAAGTCTCATTCATCATCTTCAGGCTTGTGTCTTTGGCTCTGTGCTACTCTGAGAAGCACAGAGCAGAAGACACAAGCCTGAAGATGATGAATGAGACTTCATCGAAATGTTGCCTAGATACTTCCAATCTTACGCGGGAGAAAACCTGAATAACCGAAGATCCATACACACACACACACACACACACACACACACACACACACACACACACAGAGTATACATCCAATGAAATCCCCTATCCCCTGGACGTATATTCTCCAATGGGACACATCCATAGCCAAGAGTCATCCATCACACTCTCCGGTAATAATATTGTGTGCCAACAGCTTCGGCCACCTAGCAATTATCTGAGGCGTTTAAGGAATGCACTGCTTTTCCCCCACACTCCCTAAAAGATGGAGGTTTTATTTTTAGTTGACACGTATAGAACATGCACACATGTGCTCCCCAAATCGGTTGTTAACCCAGTTTGAATCGCCCAGTGGCAAGGAAAGCTGGATTGCCCACCCAAAGCATGTTGAGATTGTTCTTTTGGGGGAGAACATGCGGAGAAGAGCAACGACGGGGCCAACAAGCCTGAAGATGAAAATGTACCCCCCCCCCAAAAAAAAAACCCCACAATGGCGGATTCGGATATGTCCCATTGAATGAAAAAAAGGATGATAGAAAGAATCCAGTATAAGGGGGTGGGTTTCCATTTTTTTTCACAAAACACTGGAAGGCAAAGACGCGAAGCACTGGATGGAAACTTGCAGAGGAGAGAAGCAAGCTGGAACATCTGGTGAAGGATGACTAACCGGTGGAACTGCTCGCCACTGGAAGTTGGAAGCAGTCCCATCACTGGAGGCTTTGAAGAAGAGACCGGACAGATGCTTGGTGTGGGATGGTAAGAGGGCCTCCAGCTCAAGCAGGGAGTTGGCCTAGATGACCTTCAAGGTCCCTTCTGATTCTCTTTTTAACTCTGAAGTGGTGTAGGCTCTCCCGTTTGAGCAAGGGCAGGACTAGGCGACCTCCAGGGTCCCTTCCAACTCAGGTTATTCAATGTCTCTGCAAGGATCGGCTTGAGCCCGGTGTTGGACTAGAGCAGTGGTTGCCAACCAGTTGGGCCAGGGACTACTGGGGGTCCGCAAGAAAATTTTGGTGGTCCACAGAGAAATGTCCTCCCCCCAAAGCAATTAATGGAGGCTGCGCGGGAACACAAGGCTTGCATTGCGAACAACATGAGGTAGTGAGGGGACGGGGGAAAGGGCAGGCGGGGACTTGCCCCACCCCCTCTGGCCACCGGGCTGCTTTCCATTTCTTTCTTTCTTTCTTCTGCTTTTGGCTGCACGCAAGGAAAGCAGCAGAAGTCTTTCTTTCTCTCCCCCAAACTCTGCCAGAAATGAGTCTTTGGGGCCCTGCAAGGCCTCCTGCTCCGAGAGGCTGTGCTAGCAAAGACTCATTTCTGGCGGAGTTTGGGGGAGAAAAAGAAAGACTTCTGCTGCTTTCCTTGCATGAAGCCAAAAGTCTCTCTCTCCCCCTGAGAACGGAGCTGGAGACGGAATCCTGTGATCCCAAATAAAGTATGATAGATTGGTAGGGGTGGGGGGTTTTCCTGCAAAATTTGGGATTTTTCCAGGGTCTTTGGTTCACGGGATTTAAAATTAATACGTTGGTGGTCCCTGAGGTCCAAAAGTTGGTGACCCCTGGACTAGAGGACCTCCCAAGTCCCCTTGCAGCTCTGTGATTCTCTTTCTCCGAACGGTAGTGGGTCTCCTGTTTGAGTGGGGGGTTGGACTAGATGACCTCTGAGGTCCCTTCCCACTCTGATTCTATGATTCTGTAAGGGTTTCCCACTTGAACGGAGATGGACTAGGAGACTTCTAAAGTGCCTTTAAAATCTGATTGTTATTCTGAATAATCTAGCGTCTGTTGCTTGAGCTGGGGTCGGACTAGATGACCTCTGAGGTCCCATCCAACTCTGTTATTTTATAATTCTGTAAGGGTCTCCTGCTTGAGCAGGGGGTTGGACTGGAACAGCGGTCGCCAACCAGTGGGCCGTGAGAAAATTTTGGTGGGCCGCAGTGAAATCTCACCCCCAGAGCAGCCCCCTCCCAAAAGCAATTAATCCAGGCTGCTCAGCCCACATGGCCCCTGGGAACCCTCCCTGCCCACTCACTCCTCACCCAGTAAACTTGCCTGCTAAGTTGCTACTTTTCCTTTTTCCGACCATCAGCTGTTCTGCTGTGCCAGGAGATTTAGATTAGCTCGGAAGCAGGAAATGGTTGGATTTCTTGCGTTGTAGCTAGTCTTGAGATCTTTGGCTCTGCTTTTAAGCACAGCCAAACCTCCCTTAGGACTTAAGATTTTCTTGCAAGCAAATTCAGCGCAGACTCACTGCAAGCAAATTTGAGAGACTGAGCTAGTTGATGGCAGATAGATAGATCACTGAATGATTCTGTGAGCCACT